TTTTTTTAAGTTTATCTGGGCGGAAACTACATTTTTACCTCAGACCTCACATGCGTTTTCTTCGTGTCAGTTGCGGCGAGTTCAAAAATGACCATGCGAAAGACGAGTAGGTGTGGGATTATTTTGAATTAGAAGGAAACGGAAACGTTTTGTGTAAACTGTGTAATGTCAAATTGTCTTACAATAACTCTACTGGAACGATGCTTAATCATATTCAATACAGGCACGTAGGCGTTAGCTTAGAGGCTGGCTAAAGCCAGCAAATGTGTCAATCACGTCATTCACTACAACCCGCAGCCGTTGCGATGCCGTCCGCGCCGTCTATTCCTCTAATGAAGACCCACTTCGGTGGTGGTGCGGGATGTCCAGGCTCTTTCTGAAACTCTATCGGCTTGCTTTTCGTTATCTCTGCGTTGCCTGCGACTTCAGTTCCTGCCGAGCGCGTTTTTTCAAGTGCAGGAATTTTATTGTTAATCGCCTCAGGTCCCGTCTTTCACCAGACCACGTTGATAATTTCACTGAACAAATAACGCATGGTCTGAGTAAGTAAAATGGGCATTGTTGCATTGTTTTGTTTTTAGACGATATAGCCTACACGAAGTATGTTTTTAAAAGCCGTTTTAATGCTATTTCTTGATAAACCTTCCTATTGTTTTTGACTTGTGTTTTAATATGTTGGCTAACGTTATATGAAGATTAAGAATTCTGTCAGGCTATTGATTGATTTTCCATTGTTCTGCATTTCCCCAGCTGATTTTAATAAATAAGCTATGCTTTGACCGACATTGAGTGTATGCTCTTCTTTTTTTTCTTTTTAACGACCACCTAAAATAAAATTATGATAACGCGAGGCAAGTGTGTGGCAAGCGGAATTAATTGAGGGATTTGACAGTGTGATTCATAGATTAAGTATTTCAAATATAGGCTATTATATAGGCTATGCTACACGCATGCACAGAGGGGTTTTTTTCTTACCATCTTTTGGGGGTTTCTTGCTTTTAGACTAGTCGACTAGTCGGATACAAAACTTTCGTTTAAACGATCATGGAAGAGAGAACACAAGCAGACAGCGCTGGAAGCTGCTAATGCTCATCAGTAAATCAGTGGAAAATTAATAGAAATGACGATTCTGTCTGAGCTAGGTGATTCTGTCACACGCACTAGTGTAAATGTAGCTAACAGATGTGTAAACTGAAGACTATTTGAGCTTTATTAAAACTATTTTGTTCCTTTGTGCAGTGGCTCAGGAGATGAGTCTTTGAGTTTGTATAAACATCAACATTTTTTTTTAGATAATGTAATCTTGTTAAAATTGATTTCATAAAATTGGTATCGAAAAAAGTATCGTTCAGGAACCGGTATCGAAGTCAAGGTATCGGTATCGATATCGAAAATTTTTGAACGATACCCAGCCCTACTCCTATCTACTGAGGAAATACTGAACTCTCAAAAAAACGTTTTTTTGCATTGCCAAATTGTGCGTTGCAGATTCTACCATATCTAACAATACGAGAGCACCGTCTTTTAGTGCATATACACAGTCTTTGGTAATGTCCCCTATCATAGGTGAGAGGCAGTTGACGTACCATCAGCTTGAGATGCAGGTGAGCGAGCCCATTTCTTGATGCAGTTAAGGTGGAATACATGGAAACAGCTCTGACAGCTCCAAACCGGAGCCATGACCCGAATCACTTCACAACAGACCATACACTCATACTTCTCCTCCGTCAGCTGCTCAATTAGACAACCTATATACACACACACACACACACAGTGTTGAACATGTTAAAAAAAACATGTAACTAAGAGAGACACAGAAATACAGTACTATCATTCTCTAGAAATTTGTCCATTATTGATCATCTTACAAAAGATTTACAAGGGTATAGCTATAAGTGACAATAAAAAGAAAATAATAAAACAAACACTTGTATATTTGTAGAAGTCCTGGGGCCTGTACCACGGAGCTAGCTGAACAAAATCTGGATTACATGATTGGGTTGAAGTTGACAAAACCAATCCAATCAGGTATTGTTAGTACCATGATGCTGATTATCAACTTCCTCCCTAAGCTCAGGCTTTAAACTTAGTTAATTAATAACTATTGAGGATTTGAAAGTGTGATAGTGTGACATCAGTAGTTAACAGCCAATCACATGATGTGCAAAACTGAAAATGTGGTTTACTTCTCACAAGAAAATTAGTGAGATTCACTTCCCTCTTCAGCTGAATATTAAGAGAAAAAAGGGGACAAATAAAAGGACATCTACCTACATCATAAAGTTAACACAAGTTATTTTGTATAGTTGATTATATCTATAGGTCAGTCCACAATAACATTTTTTAAGTTTTATATAATGAGTCTTGCTACAGTATACTGTATATATTTACATGCATTTAAACTAAAGGTTTACTATTAATTGTAAAACTGAAACCTGTGGAGTAACTTCATTGCATCAGAGATCACATTGCTCAGAGCTGATTGGTCCAATATTAATTTTAGATTGCTTACTCAAAACAAAACCTGCTACAGAGCATGTTAGCCATGGAGCTTAAGTTATAACACTTTGTGATGAACCACTTTCATTGTGCCTAAAACCCAGGATTGGCACATACTAATCTAAACCGGCTTCATTGTACAAGCCCCTGATCTAAAGCACATCACCTGTCTGGGTTTCTTTGCTTTTGGGAGGCTCCATGCGCTTCACCGGTCCGGTCCGTCGCTCTGGACCTCCACCTCTCCTCGGCCCTGGATTCTGCAGTAGTGGCCTTTTCCCTCTTGCACCTCCTCTGTTCCTGTTGAACTCCTCACGGCTTCCACCCTCACCTTCTGCACCTCTCCTCTCCTCCCCTCTCGCAGCTCCTCTGTTCCTGTTGAACTCTTCACGGCTTCCACCCTCACCTTCTGCACCTCTCCTCTCCTCCCCTCTCGCAGCTCCTCTGTTCCTGTTGAACTCTTCACGGCTTCCACCCTCACCTTCTGCACCTCTCCTCTCCTCCCCTCTCGCAGCTCCTCTGTTCCTGTTGAACTCTTCACGGCTTCCACCCTCACCTTCTGCACCTCTCCTCTCCTCCCCTCTCGCAGCTCCTCTGTTCCTGTTGAACTCCTCACGGCTTCCACCCTCACCGTCTGCACCTCTCCTCTCCTCCCCTCTCGCAGCTCCTCTGTTCCTGTTGAACTCCTCATGGCTTCCACCCTCAACTTCTGCACCTCTCCTCTCCTCCCCTCTCGCAGCTCCTCTGTTCCTGTTGAACTCCTCATGGCTTCCACCCTCAACTTCTGCACCTCTCCTCTCCTCCCCTCTCGCAGCTCCTCTGTTCCTGTTGAACTCCTCATGGCTTCCACCCTCAACTTCTGCACCTCTCCTCTCCTCCCCTCTCGCAGCTCCTCTGTTCCTGTTGAACTCCTCATGGCTTCCACCCTCAACTTCTGCACCTCTCCTCTCCTCCCCTCTCGCAGCTCCTCTGTTCCTGTTGAACTCCTCATGGCTTCCACCCTCAACTTCTGCACCTCTCCTCTCCTCCCCTCTCGCAGCTCCTCTGTTCCTGTTGAACTCCTCATGGCTTCCACCCTCAACTTCTGCACCTCTCCTCTCCTCCCCTCTCGCAGCTCCTCTGTTCCTGTTGAACTCCTCATGGCTTCCACCCTCAACTTCTGCACCTCTCCTCTCCTCCCCTCTCGCAGCTCCTCTGTTCCTGTTGAACTCCTCATGGCTTCCACCCTCAACTTCTGCACCTCTCCTCTCCTCCCCTCTCGCAGCTCCTCTGTTCCTGTTGAACTCCTCATGGCTTCCACCCTCAACTTCTGCACCTCTCCTCTCCTCCCCTCTCGCAGCTCCTCTGTTCCTGTTGAACTCCTCATGGCTTCCACCCTCAACTTCTGCACCTCTCCTCTCCTCCCCTCTCGCAGCTCCTCTGTTCCTGTTGAACTCCTCATGGCTTCCACCCTCAACTTCTGCACCTCTCCTCTCCTCCCCTCTCGCAGCTCCTCTGTTCCTGTTGAACTCCTCATGGCTTCCACCCTCAACTTCTGCACCTCTCCTCTCCTCCCCTCTCGCAGCTCCTCTGTTCCTGTTGAACTCCTCATGGCTTCCACCCTCAACTTCTGCACCTCTCCTCTCCTCCCCTCTCGCAGCTCCTCTGTTCCTGTTGAACTCCTCATGGCTTCCACCCTCAACTTCTGCACCTCTCCTCTCCTCCCCTCTCGCAGCTCCTCTGTTCCTGTTGAACTCCTCATGGCTTCCACCCTCAACTTCTGCACCTCTCCTCTCCTCCCCTCTCGCAGCTCCTCTGTTCCTGTTGAACTCCTCATGGCTTCCACCCTCAACTTCTGCACCTCTCCTCTCCTCCCCTCTCGCAGCTCCTCTGTTCCTGTTGAACTCCTCATGGCTTCCACCCTCAACTTCTGCACCTCTCCTCTCCTCCCCTCTCGCAGCTCCTCTGTTCCTGTTGAACTCCTCATGGCTTCCACCCTCAACTTCTGCACCTCTCCTCTCCTCCCCTCTCGCAGCTCCTCTGTTCCTGTTGAACTCCTCATGGCTTCCACCCTCAACTTCTGCACCTCTCCTCTCCTCCCCTCTCGCAGCTCCTCTGTTCCTGTTGAACTCCTCATGGCTTCCACCCTCAACTTCTGCACCTCTCCTCTCCTCCCCTCTCGCAGCTCCTCTGTTCCTGTTGAACTCCTCATGGCTTCCACCCTCAACTTCTGCACCTCTCCTCTCCTCCCCTCTCGCAGCTCCTCTGTTCCTGTTGAACTCCTCATGGCTTCCACCCTCAACTTCTGCACCTCTCCTCTCCTCCCCTCTCGCAGCTCCTCTGTTCCTGTTGAACTCCTCATGGCTTCCACCCTCAACTTCTGCACCTCTCCTCTCCTCCCCTCTCGCAGCTCCTCTGTTCCTGTTGAACTCCTCATGGCTTCCACCCTCAACTTCTGCACCTCTCCTCTCCTCCCCTCTCGCAGCTCCTCTGTTCCTGTTGAACTCCTCATGGCTTCCACCCTCAACTTCTGCACCTCTCCTCTCCTCCCCTCTCGCAGCTCCTCTGTTCCTGTTGAACTCCTCATGGCTTCCACCCTCAACTTCTGCACCTCTCCTCTCCTCCCCTCTCGCAGCTCCTCTGTTCCTGTTGAACTCCTCATGGCTTCCACCCTCAACTTCTGCACCTCTCCTCTCCTCCCCTCTCGCAGCTCCTCTGTTCCTGTTGAACTCCTCATGGCTTCCACCCTCAACTTCTGCACCTCTCCTCTCCTCCCCTCTCGCAGCTCCTCTGTTCCTGTTGAACTCCTCATGGCTTCCACCCTCAACTTCTGCACCTCTCCTCTCCTCCCCTCTCGCAGCTCCTCTGTTCCTGTTGAACTCCTCATGGCTTCCACCCTCAACTTCTGCACCTCTCCTCTCCTCCCCTCTCGCAGCTCCTCTGTTCCTGTTGAACTCCTCATGGCTTCCACCCTCAACTTCTGCACCTCTCCTCTCCTCCCCTCTCGCAGCTCCTCTGTTCCTGTTGAACTCCTCATGGCTTCCACCCTCAACTTCTGCACCTCTCCTCTCCTCCCCTCTCGCAGCTCCTCTGTTCCTGTTGAACTCCTCATGGCTTCCACCCTCAACTTCTGCACCTCTCCTCTCCTCCCCTCTCGCAGCTCCTCTGTTCCTGTTGAACTCCTCATGGCTTCCACCCTCAACTTCTGCACCTCTCCTCTCCTCCCCTCTCGCAGCTCCTCTGTTCCTGTTGAACTCCTCATGGCTTCCACCCTCAACTTCTGCACCTCTCCTCTCCTCCCCTCTCGCAGCTCCTCTGTTCCTGTTGAACTCTTCACAGCTTCCACCCTCAACTTCTGCACCTCTCCTCTCCTCCCCTCTCGCAGCTCCTCTGTTCCTGTTGAACTCCTCATGGCTTCCACCCTCAACTTCTGCACCTCTCCTCTCCTCCCCTCTCGCAGCTCCTCTGTTCCTGTTGAACTCCTCATGGCTTCCACCCTCAACTTCTGCACCTCTCCTCTCCTCCCCTCTCGCAGCTCCTCTGTTTCTGCTGGACTCCTCTTGTCTTCTGCCCTCAACTTCTGCACCTCTCATCTCCTTCTCTCTGATCTGAGCAGGTTCTCTTTCTCTCCAGTTACCTTCAATCCCATGGTTAGGGGCCGGCCCTTTCCTCCAGGAACTGGGCTGCATGCAGCGATCTCCACCTCTCCATCCCTTATGGTTCCTCTGCTCAGGCTCTGGATGTTCATGAACTGCTGCAGGCTTTGTGTCTCCTGCATCAGCCTGGTTTTCCCTGTTCTCCTCTTGGTCCTTGGGCTGAGGCTCCTTTATCGATCTCTCAACTCTTGCTTTATTGGGCTGTTTACGTCGGCTAGCTTGATAAGACACTCTTACGTCGGCTTCCACAGTTGTTCTTTCTTTCTTCTCCTCATCCGTGGATCTATTAGAAGTGGGTGAGTTGGGTCGCTCATGGCCACAAGCTCCGTGGTCCCTTCCCGAGTAGTCGTTATCACTTCCAGGTTTTGTCCATCTCTCATTCGGAGCACGATGGTCATTAATGCGCCTACCATCACCACGTCCTCCTCTTTGTCTTCCTCCTCTTCCTCTACCTCTTCCGTCTCCTCTGATGGGAAGTTCAGGAGGCGGTAATGTATAACTGGCAGGGTTGTCAGACTCATCTTGACCATGCTTAGTCGCATCGGACTGTCTAAAGTGATGATGAGGCCTAACATGTTGAGCCCTCCAGTCCTGAGTGTGGTGCTGCTGCCTGTAACTTCTCCTAGAGTAGGGCTGGTTGGGTTTAGCTTGTGGTACAAACTCGGCAGACTCTGGATTCAACTTCGATGTGTCTAAAAGTGAAGACAAATGGTTGTCAGGATTATTTTCTGCCCTTTGACTTTATTACTGCAGCACTATCTATATACAGCCATGACTGGATTCTTTGCATAAACTGTATGTTCTACACATAGTGACTCAGCTTTTTTGCAACAGGCAGTCAGTCACATGGCAAAGATAAGACGTGACCTGCCATTCTCTTTACTGTTAGAAGGTCAGAAATACAATTCATGAATTTACTGACACTCTTTTCGTGCTTTTAATTGGTTACACATTGACAAACTTCCTTCCACTTCGTCCTTATGGACGTGACGCGACGTAAAGTGATGATGGCTGGTAAAATATCCTTCTGTAAACGGTCAAATAAATCGCTTAAAGAAGTCACAACACATCTCTTTTTTATTTAGTTTGATTTTCTCAAATAACTACCGTTACTTAGATAATATTGCTGAGGTGAGAGGCCGTAACCAACCACACTTCACTACAGCTAACGTTAGTCGTTTTCAGGCGAGAAGCCATAATTAACCGCTTACCTGTAACGGAGGCTTCAGCCATTCAGACGAAACTCAAGACAGTTTCGACGAGATTTCCTCAGAACTGCGGAGAATATTATAATTCAACCGAGAAGCCGATAAGAAGATGAATTGTTTATGAACTACACTGACCGAGTTGGTGCTAGTTGTGCTGAAACTGCTCGTCCAATCAGAGGACAGAGATCGCTGACAGACAGACACGTGACTGTAGCGTCACAGCTGTGACTACGTAACAACCAGAGCTTTTTTCTCAACGGCTCTGGTAACAACATATTTACATCTCAAAATAAATTTTTCACATTTAATAAATTACTTTAAATTACATTTAAATCTCTTGGAAAAAACAAAAAAGCACCGAAAACATGTAATGCTCTGAAAGCATTGAAATGTATGTAATTTTCTTCCTTTCTTCTTTTTTTCTCTCTGGCAGCTAATGTTAATTTGATCATGTGAATATGTAATACCTCTTGTTCTTTTAGCAATGAATTAATAAAATATATATTTTTAAATTACATCTCAAAATTGTCGAAATATAAAATGTATTTTATTATTATTTGTGTACCAACAACAACAACAATGCTAATAGTATTCCTAGTTATATGTACTATGATACGTATGTAATTTGAATTTGACCTTTATTTAAATTTTTTCCCCTCATACCTTGGCAATAAAAATATATATTTCAATGTGCACTTTGACAATTAACATTTACAGAAATACGTTAATCAGGATTAATTCTTCAATAAGATTAGAAACATTGTTTTATGCATTCAATATTTTTCTCATTAATATAAAGACACTAGTCGTACTGAAAATCATACACACTCACTTAATAGGCAAAATACGCCAGGACCGGATTATGTCATCGAAGATCACATAACCAGCAAAATTTGACTCGTTACGTAGGCTAAACCACCCGTTATTGGACACTTTCACTCGCGGGATAAAGTAATCATGGCTAATTATGAATAGAGCTTTTGTGTTTAACACAAAAAAGAAACTCAAAGGTTTGGAACAACTTGGGGATGTGTAAATTATGACAGAATTTTCATTTTTGGTTGACCTATCCCTTTAAGAATCATACTATGATTTGAGCTGCTGCACACATTCATTTGGCCATAACATTTACTTTCACCTAACTGCTATAAATATTCATACTTCTATACCAACATAATATAGCCTTTAAGAGAGAATAGAGACATTCATTCTAAAGGCCAGATGCATGAAAGGAAATTGTCAGTTTAAACAACTTTATTATTTAATCAAATTGTATAATGTAATCAAATTGACAGTAGTAACACAAGAGTACACAGATTACAGCATTGTGTATTTCACTGTCTCTCAATGTGTGGCACAACATGAAGATTATGATTATCAAAAATTCAGGTCGCTAATATGTTTGTTTCCCCGAATTTTGAGACCAGGCATCACTGCTGAACAGAAAATTAACCTCATTCAAGAAACATTGTTCGAGAATATTTCACACAAAAACATCCACTTCCATCACATTCAGATAGATTCAATGTCACACACATTCAAGTTACATCTGCTGAAAATAATCAGGTCTTCCAGTGAAGAAAGATAATAAAAATAGAATTTAGACCTTGATTTTTGGTGAGACACCCTGTTATGAGGATAAAATTGGAGACAAATGTAACTCCCTTGCATGCATGCTTAAACACCTAACAGACATAAAAAAAGAAAGAAAGAAGGAAAAGAAATGCATAGGTTTGCTGAAATAATCAAACAGAAAACAAAAATATCTACCATTGTCCATTTCATCTGGTTGTACAGTATTAAGGAAATGTTTTACAATTGTTATATATATATTTGTATATATATATATATATTTGTGTGTGTGTGTGTGTGTGTGTGTGATGACAGTTCTTTGGTCACAATACTCGAAATGTCTTTTCAGGAGAAAGTAATATGTGCCTCAATTATTTGCATTTTATAAGGATAAATATTGTAAACCTTCAAACTCGAAATCCATTATTAGTGAACACAATGGAAAATATTATTTAGAACATATTGAATGTTTATCATATAAGGTTGTAATATGCTGTGTTACTCTTTCTGTAGAGTAATAAATCACACTCTTGAAGTCAAAATGAATTCATTTTTGCAGTTCTCAGTTCCACTGCTTGCAATCTATCAAACACAGATGACCTGACAGCAATATGAGAACTCTACTATATCACTATATCAAATATTATAAAACAAATGAATATCTCTGTCTGATTAAGGACTGACAGCTGTCAGTAGACACCACTTGTCTTGTCTTTCAAATTGAAATCAGTATGAGTCCTTGATTTCAACGATGGCATGTTTAAGGGATCATTGTGTACCATGATATTACAACAAAAAATCTAAACAAAGACACACACACACACACAGTCTCACAAGCGCCTGTCTTGTAAATATGCATTAGTAACATAAGATGAGAAAAAAAATTAACTTGGAAAAAAAGCAATATATGTGCGTTAAGTGGATATGTGCAAAAATGTCCTAAATGTTGGAATATGGTAGGATGAAAAAAAAAAAAGTGAATCCATACTGTTGACATATTTGTTCACAGAACATTTTCCAATTATATTCAAACAAGCAACTAAAATCATCCAACATAGTCCAAAACATCTGTTCAAATCAAAGAGATGAAGTCATAAAGGAATAGGAAAAAAACATAAAAAACCTACAAAACCCTTTTGAAGATATATAAAGGTCTATATAAGATTTCCAACACATAAACTGAATGAATTTCAGAGACTGTCAAGACAAGAAAAATCTCTCCGAGAGGCACATCAAATCAGAGGATCAAAAAAAACTGCATTCAGTTCAATGATGATTTTGAGGGTGTAAGGTCAAAACCTCATCCTGTACAATCAACAAACAAAAGCTGTTCCTCACGGCATGTCAGGAACCGAGCAGAAGCTGCTGGGCCGTTATTCATCCAGCTGATTAACAAACGTTTCCTCTGAATGTGGATTGTTTTGCTTTGAGTGTTGAAAGCTAGATCCAAGCATTTGTTTCTGGATGCCTCTTCCGTTCAGTCACCACACCCTCACTGTTTCCAGTTTCATCAGTGTTTTGGAGGGTTGGTGGAACTATATGATTAGAGATGTGTGGATTTGTAGCTAGACATCAAGAAGGTTGCTGGGCTGTGTGTGACTCGAGAAGTCAAAGGTCAAATCTCAGCACTGCTCTGATTCAATAAAGCCTTCTTTTTCTTGACCCATCGGCTCCACCTCTGCGTATGCTGGATGTCCAGAACCTCGACGGAATTTCATCGCTGGCCATCGGCTGGGACGTCTCTGTAAATGTATGAGTTTGATATTAATAAATGATTTTGTTTTAAATGCACTCCCCATCAGAGACAAGACATATATGTTCTACTAGGTAGTTCTAAATGTTTTTACATTTACCTTTTTGCTCAAGCCATCCAAAATGCATGACTTTAGAAATACTGATTTAAAGCAACTGTATGTACGTTTTTACCATGAAATGTCAGTTTCAAAATCATTCAGATGGTACACTGACTTCTAATAAGGTGAATGGCTCATGTTACCTTCCTGGAAGTATGTAAGCTTGGCGAGCAGGTATGAAATTCCATCAAAAGGCAACAACAAATACATGTGTACAGCTATCCACTGTAATCATGACATTGATATATTGAAAGTTGCAGTAATACACAAGACTACATACAGTTGCTTTCATTTGCAATTAAATCTCTGCATCCATTTAATAAGAAATAGTATGTATAAAATGAATTCTTGCTTTTGCAGAACAAAAAATAATTTTAACTAAAATGAATAGAGACAAAAAAGGATACAGCAATACCATAAAAGTGTTTCTTACATTGCATCACAGAAATACTATTTATTCAATTATTTGTTCATGACATCAGAATGGACAACTTTTTAAGGTGCTGTTTTTTTACAACCTTTTTTGGAGCTTTAAAGCTTCAGTACCCATCCATTGTTAAAATACAGACAAGTGCAGACTTCAGAAATTCGTACCAGAGGTGAAAGAAGTCATACAATTTTGGATTTCTTTATTTGATCGACTATTTCTTTAACCTAAACAAACCTCCATACTCCCACCTCAATGAAGAAGAGTCCCGCAGCAGAGCTCGGGTGGTGGTAGATGTAAACGGTCACCAGGACGATGGCCACCATCACGAGCAGAAGCAGGAGCATCCCAAGAATCAGCCCCATGTGCAGGGGGTGAGTGCTGTTCTCTGCTGTGCTTTTTGCTGCAGCTGCTGTAACACACATTATACTGTATTTATAGTTCTGAACACTGATGCATTTCAGTTCACTTACACTGTCAGAATACATCAGTCTGTCTTTGTACACACAACTGCACTGCACGTGACATAACAACTTCAGGAAAAGGAATCATGAGTGGAGACTCCCTGTAGTTCTACTTTTAAACAGAAGAGAGCACTGCTTTCACAATCATTTTGCTATTTCTGTCTTTGGGTATTAAGGTTTCCAGTGGCTTGTGTATCTGTCCAACAGGCAGATAAAAAGATTAATGATGGAGGAGAGACAAGGCTGTAAATCTTAATTTTGTATTGTGGACATTTCCAGCCGGCCCAGTGAGAAAGATTTACTGTGGTCTGCAGTTCTTGTGTTTTTGCGCCACAGCCAGGCCCCTGTAAAAACCTAAGACTGCTGAGCAGACTCAGTGGCAGTTTTTGAGACCAAATCAGTAGGAATACCTCATTCTTTTTCTTACAATGACAGTTATGGATCTACAGATGTCAGTTGGATCTGCTTTATCAATATGTTAAATATATGAACTTAAAATGCACTACTTTTATGTAGTAACATCTATTCTAAACGAACTACTTTTGGGTAAAAAATATTTAATATACGCAAGCCAATTAATCTGACTCCATTAGGTTAAAAGTAAATAAAACTTACAAAAATCTTTTCAACTATCCCAACTACATTGGACACCACTGACTTCCATTGAATGGAGGAAAAAAGGCATTTTTCAACACATATTCTTTTGTGTTCCAACTCCACTTAATCTTTGATTTTATATCTCTGTGGCTCCATGATCAATGAAAACATCCATCTCTGCACATATCTTGACAGGGTGTCGTTGATTTTCTTTTCTGCCGGATTACTTTACACTACATTATTTTATTTAATTACAGCACCCAGGTGGCT